CCAGGACTCCTGGGTTCTATCCCCAGCTCTGGGAGCTGAGTGGGGGCTGGTGGGTTAGAGCAGGGGGGCTGGGAGCCAGGACACCTGGGTTCTATCCCCTCCTGCCCCCATAAAGGGGGTTCAGTGAAGATAGGAAATGCACCTGGAACCCCGTTCTATTAATTCTAGACCAGTAGCACCCAGAGGCGCTGCCCAGCCACGCAGACAGCCCCTGGGTGGGTGGGGAAACTGAGTCACGCAGCGGGGAAGGGACTTGCCCAAGGTCAGCCAGCAGGACAGTGGCAGAGGTGGGAACTGCTCCCAGCCCGGTGCCCCCCTCTCAGCTCTGTTCTCCCCCCAGAGCCCGGCGCCATGGCCCCCTGGCCTGTGGCCCTGCTGCTGCTCAGCCTGGCGGGGCTGGCGCATTCGGAGAGTCGTGCGGAGGAGCCAGGGCGGAGCCGGGGGGGGCGGGCGGCCGAGCCCCCCCCCGGGGCCAAGTGCACCTACACGTTCATCGTGCCGCAGCAGAAGTTCACGGGGGCCGTGTGCTGGAGCAGTGTGCGAGCCGCCCCCGAGCCGCCGGTGCCCAACGGCAGCGAGACGCGGGCGCTGCAGGAGGTGCTGGGCCGGCAGCAGGCCGAGCTGCAGCGGCTGCGGGGGCTGGTGGAGGTGGACGGCGCCCTGGTGAGCGAGGTGAAGGCCCTGCGCAAGGAGAGCCGCGCCATGAACGCCCGCGTGGGCCAGCTCTACGCCCAGCTGCTGCACGAGATCCTGCAGCGGCGCCAGCGGCCCGGGCTGCTGGCCCAGCTCGAGGGACACGTGGCCAACGCCTCGGACCAGGCGCTGCGGCTGGCCGCCGGCTACCGCCAGCTGGAGCTGCGCTACCAGGCGCTGGCCGCCCTCGTCAACAACCAGAGCGCCCTCATCGCGCGGCTGGAGCGGTGGTGCCAGGGGGGTGCCGGGCCACCCCCCCCACAGGTAACGCCAGGGCGGGGGGACAGTGCTGGGGGTGGTCGGGCGGGGGGTGCCCCACGCGGTGAGGCTGTGGGGCGGCCCGGGCTCAGGGCCCCGTCTCGTCTCCCCACAGCCCCCCCTGGTGCCGGTCGTGCCCCCCCGCCTGTCCGGCATCGCCAACGAGAGCCGGGCGTATTTCGATGCCGCCGCCCAGCTGCAGATGGACCAGATGGAGCCAGCGCCCCCCACGCTGCCCCCCAGGGCCCCGGGTGAGTCGGGC